CTCTTCAGCTCAAGGCTAGTGCTATACTGCTTGAGCCACAGCATGACTTCCAGCTTTTTCTATTTCTGTGGAACTAAGGAATCCAACCCAGGGCCTCATGCATGCAAGGCAAGCCCTCTACCACTGAGCCACCTTCCCAGCCCATGATCCATACTTTTCTAATACAGATCAACACTGCAAAATTTTGCAGAAGTGGCAAGGCGCCGGTGGCTCATGCCTGTCATCCCAGCTGTCCAGGAGACTGAGATTTGAGGATCGAGGTTCAAAGCCAGCCCAGGCAGGAAAGGACCTGAGACTCTTATCTCCAATTAACCAGCAAAGAGCCAGAACTGGAGTTGTGGCTCGAGTGGTAGAGTGCTAGCCTTGAGCCAAAAGGCTCAGGCACAGCGCCCAGGCCCTGAGTTCAAGTCACAGGACCCTTTCGCACACATTGTGTGTGAGCGCAGAAGTGGGACTATGACTCGCATAGCAGTGTCAGCCCTGAGTGTAAAAAGCCACATGAGAACGCGAGGCCCTGAACCAAGCCGCGGTACTGACACGACAGTAAAATAAAATAAAGACGGGGAACCTGGCGCTGGGCGGCTCACACCTCTCATCCTAGCTACTCAGCAGGCTGAGAGCCGAGGATCGCTGTCCAACACCGGGCAGAAAAGTCCACCGGACTCTTACCTCCGATACATGACTCAGAAAAAGCTGGCAATGGGGCTTAAGGAGTAGAGAGCTAGCCCTGAGCCAGTGAAGCCCGGGGATGGCGCCCAGGCCCCGAGTTCAAGCTCAGGACCGGCAAACGAAATAAAGACAAATAACAAAGAAGTGTGGGGTCTTGGGGCTCTTGTTCTTGTTTCTGTTGCCTGGTCTGCTGGACACTTGGGAGCTCCTACCGTCCCGGCCACTGGACTGGGCACAGTGCCAGAGCCAGCGTGGCTCCACCCCCCACCCCGGGGCCGCCCCGGCCTCCAGGGGGCTTGCCACTTTCTCCCCCCCACCCTCAGGGCCCCCCAAGTGGAGTCCCGTGAGCACCCACCCATCACGGCCAGCTGGAATCGCCTCCGCGCCTCCCCGGCCTGGCTCGCGGCCACACACAGGTAGCTCCCCGCGTCGCCGGCGCCCACCGTGTCCAGCTGCAAGCCGGGGCCCTGCTCCAGGCTCTGGGTCAGCAAGGGCTCCCCATCCTTCATCCAGGACACGAGGGGCAGGGGGCTCCCCCAGGCCTCGCACGGGAGGGTCACCGAGGAGCCACGGGCCACCACCACATCCTCCCGGAACTCCACCGGCTCCAGGACAGGAGGCACTGCAGAAGGCAGAGGGAGGGCAGGAGCCCTTCTGTTCTGCCACAGGTGGTGCTGGCCCCGGGACCTTTGCACATGCTGCGTCAACGTCCTCCCAGACAATCTCATCGCTAGGACTTGGCCTAGACCTCACTACACCAAGAAGCCTCTCTGAGCCTCTCTGAGGTCAGGGCCAGTCCCGCATGATACCCCAAGGTATCGTTCCCT